CAGCGTTGCCAACCCTCCGTGGAGAAAGAATCGTATCAAGTTCGTGAAATTATCGTATCGGATCGTATTCTACTTGAAAAATTATCGTATGCACGATCATATCAGCCAAAAACTTAAAACTAGCTTTTATTTTTATAAAATTCACTAATGGTCGTTTTTTTAATCACTACGGATACTAACAGTAGGTATATCATGTACGGGCCAAAAATTAAGGTTACATTAAAACGCAATCCGTACTGTCGAATATGGACAAGGTTACAGGAAAATTAAAGGGTCGCTTTTGAGCTGAGACGATTAATAAAGACCACGGAGGACCGAAGTTATGGAGGTACAACCCATCACGACTTCTGCAAGGTGTGTATAAGATGTTGAACAAACACACAAAATACAAAGACTACAAATCATCTACATTCTACATAGTATAGTATGTCTATGGTATGTAGAACATACACAAGTCACAAATACAAAAAAAACTTATTCATAGAACTTATTTACCTATCTGTCATTTTTGCATTTTGATCTGTCGATTGTCATTTGTGTGATTTTGTTTTTAATGCTACCATAGAAAATAGAATGCTGCCAACTGTCATTCTGATTCATTATATTTATTTTTTTGTACAATGGCCTTTGCTCGGGACAGAGGCAGCCTTGATATGCGCAGTTTTCGCTAGAGGAAAATCCTGAATAATTATCGTATAATTATCGGATATCGTATAAGGAAAAATTACGATCGCATCAGACCTCGAAATTATCGTATAATACGATAATTATCGTATCATTGGCAACGCTGGACAGTAAGTACATGAATATTTCGACGTCTTTTAAGCGCACGAGAAAAAAAATTAATTTTCAGGCCCCTAGGGGCCTGTATCTCTGCAACCAGCTAATCTTTTTTCCCCCCATTTGGAAAATTAAGGTAGTCCCATAGGACAATGATTTAGCAAAGTTTTGTTAAAATCGGAGAAAACATCATTTTTAGGTGGGAACACTTGAGGTGTTTTGCCCCATATGTAAAATTTTGAGTGACAAGTTGGGCCAACTAACAAACAATGATGCCAACTAACAAACACAGAACAAATATGTGCCAAATTATATAGTTGGCACATATTTGTTCTGTGTTTGTTAGTTGGCATCAGGGGGGTATAAGGGGAATTTGACAACAGGCAACAGTAAAATAAATCTAGCATGCGTTGAAACCCAAGTTGTTTTTGACAAACCCCAGTTATTAACCACGTGATTCTTACTTTGTTGTGATTGGTCTTTTCCAACTTGTTCGTTGATGTTCGGTTTGAGAAATTACAAATGGCCGACAGCGTTGTTAAAGTGGTGTGTACTATAATCCAAATTTTCTTTGTTTTAGGTAAGTAAACTTGTTAATTTCGGCTTTAACATTTTATTAGGTGTTTTTAGTCAAGTTTGAGTTAGTTGTAGCATCATTACCGCGTTTAAAATAAGAAAATACGTGTGATAAACCGTATCGGTTTTTTTCTCTATGTTTACCGAAAACACATGTAGTTAATAAAATTCTTTTTATGTAATGAAACCTATGGCAAAGAGTAAAGACTCTTTGCTTATGGGTTGTTTAACTAATGCAAGTTTTGATAGAATTTAAATAGTTTTAAAGCGTTTTGATTCAAAACTTTCAATCAAAACAGTTTTTAACGTTTTTTTCTCGACACTAGTTGCTGTTAAATGTTAAATATACCTATAATCTTTGTCAAAATGTATGTTTTTGTTAAAATTATTTGATGTAGCTACGCGAAAACTGGACCTGGGTCCAGGGCCCCACTACATTGGCATTTGGTGGAGCGGAGGTTATTGAACGAACAGCCCCCTCATCGGTGGATCGGACATAAAGGGCCCAACAATTTGGCACTTCATGTATGGTCAACATGTTCAACCGATATCACAGTGTGCGACTTCTTTCTCTGGGGCTTTATAAAAGATAACGTTTATGAGCCCCAAGATTTGTAAAAGCTAAATACACGAATTGGAACTGCCGAGTATCTACAAGATGTTTGCAGCTGGAAGAGGTCATATTAAACACTTGTAAGCATACAGTTCAAAACTTGATTATATTACAAATGTTTTGTGCTTTCCATGTTTTTTTTTACATAAATATAGCATTTTGAACTACAGGGTGATAATCTTTTACAGTATTTTTATAGTTATTTTATTTGAAGGGGTCAATGCAAGAAGTGTCTAAGTCACATTTTCAATTAAATTGTTATTGTGGCTTCATCCAAGAGTTTTCACATAAGTTGAAAACCAGGCAAACTCCCATTGAAGTAAATGCAAACTAAGGCACTTGGGCACATATTTCTGCCACTTTGAAAATACCACCTGAAACCTTACATGAAACACTCTTAGATGAAGCCACAATGTAAATTTAATTGAAAATGCGACTTAGGCACTTAAGTGCAAGAATTCTTGCATTGACCCCTTCATTTGTTCTATCTGAAAGTCTGACATTTTTAATGTACATAAATAACTAGACAATTCTTAAGCAAACCTTTTAAAGAATTATTTTTAAAGTTTTTAATTCAATTATTTTTTGCTACAATATAAATTGATTTTAATTTAATATAATTAATTTTAGCTTTTGCAATAATGGAAGAATTAGACAAGATTTATCCTGCATGAAGAAAAAGAATGAAAGCTTTACTTCGTCAATCCCAAACAAAAATATTTGACCAATTTTTTTTAATAATAGGTAGATATATTTTTTTAAATTTAGAATACATTTTTAGTTACAATTGGTGGTGTGTGAATATTTTTACCAAATAAATTAAGTAGTAATATTTAATTCAAACTTAAAATTAAATATTTAAACTACATAAATAGTTTGAATTATTTGAATAGTTCAATAATTACAATCATAATCTATTCAAATAAGTTAATTAAGGGTTAATGACAAGTAAATAAAATTCTTTTTATTTCAAAATAAATTTTAAATTACAATTCCAATGTTCAATTTCTTCAATTACTATTGGAAAATTTTAATTTTCTGATTGAACCATTTAAAAATTTGAAACATTCAAACTATTTAAATAATTCTTGAATTCAATATTCACACATCCATAGTTACAATCCAAATATAAAAAAAGTAAAAGAAAGTACACTTTTAGTATTTACTCCAAATATAATTAAATTGTTTATTGTTAAAACAAGCAATCTGACATTTTTATATTACATACACTTCTGCTTTAAATTATTATTTTGAGGCAGAAATATTTTATTTAGGATTTTTATTAGGATATTAAAAAAGGATATTTTCATGTTAAAACAGCACAAGTTAACCATTATTAGTTTTTATAAGATTTTTAAATTAAAAAATAAACAAAATCATACTTAGTTACTTAGCTTATTTTTACAATAAACCATTCAATTATTTTTATGCTGGTAAAACAATTACCTTTAGCATAAATAAGTAGCATAAATATTGATACATTATTTTTATTTTATTTTAAAAATTATTAGGTAATATCAATTGTTTTACAATTTAAATTGATTTTAAAATTGGTATTGATTTCAGGTTTGGGTTTGTGTTAATGGAAGAAGCAGACAGGACTTGAACTTATCAAACTTCTTTGCAAAAGAACATAGAAAATATTAATTGCAGTTCTTCATTGAATCAAGAAAAAGACGCAGGTTCAATCCATGAATCATGAACAAGAAAAAAGACAATTAATACTTAATATTGACCAGAAAGTTAAATCATACATAAAGATTTTAATTTTGCCAAATACATAATAACAATATTTTTAACATTGAGATTTAAGTGGTTCTATTGATTATTAATTTTAATTAAACCAATTTTACTAAAAATTAAATATTCCAAAGAATGTAATTTAATTTTTGGATAAGTAGGAATTCCTTTTTGCCAAAAATTCTATATTTTACAAAACTACAGTATTGTGCTTATTTTAAAAACAAATTATAATCATAATTCCTAAAAATTATAAGAGTATGGTTTGTTATTACTTATTAGTCTAATTATGGCATTAAACATTTTAGGCATAAGCCTTTTGGTTTATTCCAATAAAGAAATTTGGAAATACCTATAGGTATACAATAAGTCAGTATGTATTACAAAATTATTTATTTTTATGAATTACATATTTAAAGTTAAAATAATTTTAATTATATAATATACTCAAACTGTTTTAAAAGGTTGTTTTCTAATAAGGACCAATAAGTATTGAACTATTGTTTATCAAGAATTTATCAAATATTTTGAGTTAATTTGTTTATAAACCTTTGCATTTTTATTAAGAAATCTTAAAAAACCTATAAAAATTGTTATTATGTGACACAAAATTAAAATTTCTGAACATTAACGCTGTAATCAAGCGATAATTGTCTTGTAGGCATATATAAGAGGGTAATTATCAATTTAATGTCATACTTTTTGATAAATTATACCTAAATAATTATAAATTATTATACATGTTTGATAAACCTTTTTTTAAATATCACTAAAAGTTATAGAATAATTAACTTTGAATTTCTCCTCATTTAAATATTATTTGTTAGTTATACTTTAATTTAAAATTAAATTAAGTGTATATTTTGTTAAATATATTTATTAAAAAAAACAAAAATGTGTGTTTTTCCACTTAATTAGTGGAAAATAACCGAAAATTGTCGAAATTTTATATTTATTGATTTTTAATGGACAATATTACGTATATAATCCTTTTAAAATCAAAAAAAATATAAAATTTAAACAATTTTCGGTTATATTTCCTTGTTTTAAATAAAAATTCAAATATCCAATCATTCAAATTTCCCGCCGAAAAAAACAACTCGGTTTTCCAAGGCTGCTAGATTTAAAAATCAACCAATGCTTGTTGCCACTTTTGACTACAGCGCTTTTAATTCTCTTATGTTCTGTGGTTGGCATCATTGTTTATTAAACTAAACATTTGTTTTATTTTTATTTAGCAGTTTTAATTTATTGTGTTAATTTTTTAATAATTTGTGCATTTAACGATGCCAGTAGTTTGTGCGTGATAATAAAGTTAACTATTTGTAAGTGAACGATTTGTAATTTCCAAAATACATTTTTTTAGGTTATATTGTGTGATTACCTGGTAATCACTACAGTCAGTCACGAAAGTATTCATACACCCCAATTTTTTTGGAAATAGGAAATAAAGTGGAATTTAATTAAAAAATATATTATTCATTTGATAAAACATGAGTAAAAAACTTTATTAGAATGCTTTACAACTCTGAATTTAAAATTATTTATTAAACATTAACAATATCAGAAAATTTGAAGGTCACAAAAGTATTCATACAGAATCTGTATTACAGATCATATTGTTTAAGATATAAATGAAATTTGTTTTGTGTGTAACCCATAGCAACCATTTGTTTACAATTGTCAATCTGACAACCTGTAGTGATATCATTTCCTAATTATTGTGTGTCAATTATCAATTGTAGTTTACAGTACTTAAGGGTCGCAAAAGTAGGGAATTAGGATCTGAGATGAGAGATTTGATTGTAAAATTACAAAGAGAGGGAAAATCGTATGGACAAATTTCTAAAATAACTGGAAGGAGTCGAGCTACTTTACAAAGTGTTATAAAGTGCTATAATAATCGCGAACACACTCTAAATAAAGTAAGAAGTGGTCGACCAAAGAAGCTAAACGATCGGGAAATTCGGTCTTTAGTCAAAAACGTTAAAAAAAATCCTAAAAGTAGCGCCCCATCTTTGGCCAATGATATTGAGTTAGAAAGTGGGATCAAAGTACATCCCGAAAATGTCCGGAGAATTTTGAGAAACCATGGGTACCACTGCAGAACTCCAAGAAGAAAGCCCCTTATATCGTTAAAAAATCAGCAAAAAAGAATGGATTTTGTTAATCAATATCAGAATAAAGACCTAACATTTTGGAGAACTGTATTATTTTCTGATGAAAGCAAGTTCAATATTTATGGATCTGATGGGAGAGGAAAAGTTTGGAGGAAAGTTAACACGGAACTGAAGAAGGAAAATATAGTCTCTACCGTTAAACACAGTGGAGGTAGCGTAATGGTATGGGGTGCCATGTCAGCGGCTGGGGTGGGTGAACTACGATTTATTGAGGGCATAATGGATCATCAAATGTATCTTAATATTTTAAGAGAAACAATACCAGCTTGCGTCGATGCTTTAAGTTTACCAGCCCAATGGACATTCCAACAAGACAACGATCCGAAGCATACTGCTCGAAATGTGAGGCTTTGGATACTCTATAATGTGCCAAATATTCTTAATCATCCACCTCAGTCGCCAGATATGAATCCCATAGAACAATTATGGGAACTATTGGACAGAAAATTAAGGGCTTCAGAAGTACAAAAGACAATAAAGAGCAGAGAAACATTAAAACGGGCTCTTCAAATGGCATGGGATGAAATTACACCTGAAATTAATGAAAATTTAATTTTGTCCATGCCTCGCAGAATAGAAGCTCTTCAAATAGCCAATGGAGGTGCTACAAAGTATTAAAAATTATAAATGAAATAAAGTTATTTATAAGATTAACTTAATTATTTGTAATGTAATGTAACTGTATGAATACTTTTGTGACCTTAAAATTTGCTAATATTAATAATGTTTATTAAATGTTTTTGAATTCAGAGTTGTAAAGAGTTCTAATTAAGTTTTTTTTTCATGTTTCATCAAACGAATAATATATTTTTTACTTAAATTGTACTTTCTTTCCTATTTCCAAAAAAATGGGGTGTATGAATACTTTCGTGACTGACTGTATACCTACTGAAAATTAGATTTTGCTTGTAATATAAAATTACTTAAACTTAATGATTTCATATAAGATCCTATTTTTATTTAATGAAATTAATTATTAAAAAGCAGGAACCAGGAGTAAAATTTAAACTTCTTTTTTATTTACATAATAAGTCATCCAGAGAGGTTGCATCAATCCAGCTCATGTTATGATTAAATCCTATTAATAACAAAACTGGATTTAATAATTTAAAGATCTATAAGTTTCTTAATCATTTGGAGAATGTGAGTTATCAGTTGTTTCTTGAGTATGGTTTTGCTTCCTTGTTTGGGGCCGCGCATATTATAAACAATACTACCTATATATACTAGGGTGTGTTATTTTTAAGCAACTTTTTTTTTCAACTAAAAAACAGGCTAAAAACTTTCAGGAAGGTGAAAAAAGAAACCTCTAAAAATTTGAGCTCTTAATATTAACATTAAGTCGTGCCTGTTCCTAACTTTCCATTTTCCATTTAAATAACATGGAACAATTTTTTTTCTTTTTTCCTATTTTTGTAGCTTGACATTTGAGCATTGTAAAAACGAATTGAAAAATTATTTTGGTAGGAAATTGAACGCTCTTCAAAAAAGTTTCATAGAGTGAGCCGTTCTATATATAGGTATTCAAATTTAAATTTAAGTTGCCTTTAACATTTCGAATCGCGGCACGTTAGCGTGCCTCTAGTCACCGTGTAATCCGAAAGGTAATATACCGACTGAACCGCGGTATAATATTTTATCAGAGATACCTATAAAATTTTATCAGAGTTATCGACTTTAAAATTATAAAAAGTAAAGAAAGATTAAAAATTCAATTCAATAACAAATTCATTGTTTTATTTAATCTATTATAATTATTGAACAAATTTATTGAACACAAATAACTTTTTTGATAGTAAATAAAATAAAATGGAAAAAAATTGAGATGTAAGTGTTATTTTCTTTCTATATGAAAATAATTATTTTTTCTTAAAATAATTTGTAAGACATGTCTATGCATAAAAAAGTATAAGTTTAATAAAATAAAAGTCATAATTTCATCCCAGATAGCACAAAGGTATACTATGGACGTCCAATGGACGTATGCTCGTGGACGTCTGTATGTACATGGGATGTCCATTTTTTTCTATGGACGTCCCATGGACATCCGTTTAGAGTCCAGATGTCACAACTTTGGACATCCATAAGTCGTCCACCGATGGACGTCTATAAGGTGTTTAAACCATTCCTCCAGCATCCAGGACCTGCTTTTTTGCTTACTTTAACTGTTTTTTGCGACTGTATTTTCATTGCGATGTTGCAGAAAATTTTCTACAACATGACTGAAATGCCTTTTGTCTGGCTCAGTAACAATCCCACTAGGAATATAAATATTCTAAAAGTTGTTAAAAGTTACAACATTCAATGTTAAACATTTCAGGAAATCCTTGTATTCGAATATTACATTTGCAATACTACAAGTGTTTAACATTTCAAAGATAGCTTAAGTCCTTTATAGCCCGCGCTTGCTTGAATGTCAGTGAGATTGATCATAACTGTTGTTATGCAGCCAACAATACGTTTTAACTACATTTCCGTAATAATAATTATGGACGTAAAATGGACACTATATGGACGTCCATTAAAATCGTACAAAGGATGTAACGTACATAGTACATCCATTTTTAGTCCGTGGACCAATGTACTTAAAATGGATCTTAAACGGACGTCCATTGGACGAATGGTGCTATCTGGGATATATTTGCCAGTTTAAGTACCTTCAAAACGGCTTACTCTATGAAAAAATAAATGAGTACTTTTTTGTAGAGCGTTCAATTTCCTACCAAAATAATTTTTTAGTTCGTTTTTACAATCCTTAAATGTCAAGATACAAAAATAAGAAAAAAGAATTTTTTTTCCATGTTATTTAAATGGAAAGTTAGGAACAGGCACCACTTAATGTTATTATAAAGAGCTAAAATTTTTAGAGGCTTCTTTTTTCACCTTTCTGAAAGTTTTTAGCCTGTTTTTAGTTGAAAAAAAAGTTGCTCAAAAATGACACACCCTAATATATACAGTATGTGCTCGGATGGGGTTACAAGGGGAAACAAAAGTTTGTAAGAAAATTATTGATCAAGTTTTTACTTAATTTCAAACCCCCCGAATATGAGACACATAATTTTTATTGTCTATGGTTAATTTGCAATTTTAATTTATATTATTTTTTTTTAATAAAACATTTTTTTGTTATTTTCATTTCAACACATTTATGAATATTAGTATCATGGAAGGTAAAAATCTCGAGAATTCTCCACAGATGTCATTAATTTTTACTTAAAAAAATGCATAAAACGGCGAAGAAAAAAGTATTTTTGGCGATGAATTGAAAAGTAAAAGTTTTGAACATGTCAGTATAATCGATTACTTTTGAGAAATGACAAATGAACAAAAACTGACCAAAAAAGTTTTCTCCCTTCATTAGGTAAAGTTGAATTTTACCGCGAAAAAGTTGGTGTTTCTATGGGTAGCCTTACAAAAATAATCACAAATGGCTAGGCGGTGAGAGCTTTGAACATGTAGATAGAAACTATTACTTTTGAGAAATGACAAATGAACGAAAACTATAAATTAAAATTGCATTATAATTATTGTTCTACTTCTATTGCATAATGTATAAATGTATATAATATATATATGTATTAAATATATATATTATGTACCTATATATATATATATATATATAAATACAGGGTGTTTCTTTTAACTTGAGACAGCTTAATATCTCGAGAAATACGCATTTCACGGAAAAATGTCTTAAATAAAAGGTTAATGTGACTATAGGGGACATTATTTGGTGCTACCGCTAGCCACCCCCTACCCCTCCTTAAGGGTGAAACGGGGGGTAACTTTGGAAAGTCAAATGGAATGACCCGATTTTTTTCACAGAGTTTGGTAGTACATAAAAAAATGAATAACTTTTATTTGAAAGTTTTTTTCAATTTATCAACAGATGGCGCTGTAATTCAAAATTTAAGAAAAAGGGGTTTCCTTGTAAAATGTATTATTTGAAACGTTTGAAAAACAAAAATTAACATTAAATCAACAATAGTCGGCTCTGAAAACAATTTATAACAAATGTTCGAAATGTCGTCCTTCCATTTCGACACCAAGTGGAGCACCAGCGTCCCTGGTCGGTAAACGTTTGGTGCGGTACCTTTGGCGAACGATTAATCGGACCCTTCTTTATTGACGGTGCATTAAATGGC